GTTCAAATGCCTTTTCCCCCATTGAGTTGTAATGCTTTTATCGTTTTTAAACGCTTATATAAAATCGAGTCTATTTCTGCCTAGCTAATCTGTTAAATCGATGTATGAGCTATATATTTTATTATTTGCCAAGGCATTTAATACTTCTCCCAATTAAGCTCTCCCTTCAAAATTTTCTTTGCTATTTTCCCTTGTTTATTTTTCAAGGTGAATTTTAAAATAATTATATCCAAGTCTAAAAAGACTTCATTGAATTACAGTGTATTGTAATTACACGAAGGCTTAAAATAAAGGAAGAATTGACATCTTTATGATTTTAATTTTCCCATCCAGGAGAAATCTTCTTCATTAAGTTTTCCCATATTTCTCAACAAAATTTGGTCATTTTCTTCATATAGATTATTGATATTTCAAATAAAGTTTATTGCTAGGTATTTTCTATTTGTTGTTATTTTATGTTGTTTTCTAACTGGGATATTGCTGGTGTAGGTAGGGAAACTTGCATCTTGACAAGACAGACCACTCTACTCTCATTGTTAACGTATTCTTCTGACTCTTTGGAGACTGCTATCATGTTTCCCAGCAGTCTTCTTTTGTCCTAGCTAAATAGTCCCAACTGACAGGATGAAACAGTATTTGGGGAAGATTCAGATGACAGTTGTGAGGAGGGTGACTTGGGGCAGGCATGACACTAAACGTGGGGGATCAGCAAGGCCTGGCTTCAGTAGTGATCCAGACTTAAAGAGATGTGCTAGGGCTGGCTGGTTAGCTCAGTTGGTCAGAGCTCTGCCTTGTAACACCAAGGTCAAGGCTTCAGATCCCTGTATCTGCCAGCCGCCAAAAAAAAAAAAAAAAAAAAAAAAAACTGCTCTTTCCACAGTACGCATTCTCCAGTAGTCAAGTCAGATCGTGAACAGGGTTCCAAGAAGCAGAAAGGTCCTCCACCACACGCAGGAAATTGGGAGAAAAAAATTGCTATCCCAGAAGTCAGCATACAAATTCTAAAATGACCTCTGGGTATTCTGGCCCAAAGTCCGTTTTTCTTCTTTTATCAAATGTGCCTCTTCCCCCGCCCCCCCTTTATTAATTTGGGGAGGGGCATGTCTGAGAGAAATTTCAAAGGAGGAAACATTAGGACATGTCGATAAACTGGATATAAGGGATAAAGGAAGGGAAAGGAGTCAATGATGGCTCAAACATGTCTAGCCTGAATCACTGAAGGGCTATGACTCTACTAAGAGAAAGTGTGAGAGGCTGGCAAGGGCAGACAGTTTGGAAGGAAGTCAATTTTGGACATCCTGACCCTGAGATTATAATATAGACACAGAGAGAAGTCTGTCCTACAGACCAGTATTCTTCAAATTTTTTTCCCACAGTAAGAAATATATTTTACATAGCAGGCCGGTTTGAACACAGACACAAACAGATAGATATAAAACAGACATTGGGTTACAAAACTCCTGCAGACTTAATGCAAGTTTGGGCCTGGAATCCTAGTGAGCGGGAGGAAAGGGCTGGGTGTGTAATCCGCATTGAATTGATAGATTCAGTTATGAGGACTAATGACTTCCTTTCCCTCAGCTGTCTGAGGTCCTGTAGTCTTATACTTGGCGACCAACACCCTGACAGGTAATTAATTATCCTGCCACCATCACCCTCAATCCCATGTTCCAGAGGGCTCCAGGGGAAGAGAGATTCCAGCAGAAACGCCACATACATTTTATTTATTTATTTTTTTAAAAAAAGATGACCGGTAAGGTGATCTTAACCCTTGACTTGGTGTTGTCAGCACCATGCTCACCCAGTGAGCTAACCGGCCATCCCTATATGGGATCCGAACCTGTGGCCTTGGTGTTATCAGCACCGCACTCTCCTGAGTGAGCCACGGGCCGGCCCCGCCACACACATTTTAGAGTTCAAAGTAAGTCTCGCTGCCAATGAACAGGGCACGCTGAGCTAGGAATTACTCACCTTTAAGAAATATCTCCTTTATCCTCAGCCTGGATAAGGATTTTACTTGGAGAAAGAAGGGCTAGAGAATTTTTAGGACTCCAATTTTTGAGTTTCAAGGCCATGGTGCTTAGAACTGGGAGAGGAAGGATAGGGAACAATTTCTCCTTGCAAAGCCAGAGTCCTAAATCCAAGCATGGAAAGGAGGCCAAGAGCCCTAAGCTAACATCTGTTGTTGGGTCACAGCCTAAGCAAGCTCAGGCTCAAGCTCAGCAATGCTTGGCTATGATGAATGAGGGAGCACAGAGGATTACTAGAGGCCTTGCAGAAAACAGCAATACATATTGAAAAGCTGCTTGTCCAGCCCCAAGAACGTTAACCTCCTCAGTCAAAATAAGGTGTTTTAACCTGAGTCATGTCAGAGCATCTTTCCAAAGTGGAAACAACTCAGAGTGAAACATTTCATAGTGAAAGGTACTTTTAAATAGAGATGAAAATGAGCCAATCAATTTTTGGCCTTAGAAATTTAGTTTTTAAAAAGTTCCAATGTACAATCTGGTTGAAATACCATGTCACTCTCAGGCTTTTTTCTGTTCAGGCAAAGGAGTAAATGAAGAGCTAGAAGACAGGGCAGTTGTTCAGGAGGTAAGGAGTGCTCCGGCAAGCTTCTCTTCCCATATTGGGGCTGATGCCCCAGGTTTTCAGGAGACTTTGATGATGGCTGCATGTCTGGGCTTCTCTTAACACCTAGCTCAAAGAGACAGGCTTTCATGGCAAAGGTCCCAGGGAGTCAGACTCAATCCTTCCTCCACAAAATATTACGGCAGCACAGAGGAGCTGGCTTAAAAATGACAAAACACTGACAATAAGCAGGCCGTTGAAGCCAGAAGCTGCCTATTCACCACACCCTTTCTCAGGCCCTGGGCTCTATTTCATTCTCTTCTGGTCCCCATTCTCCATCTCTGATTTAAAAGATTGCCAAGATATAAACCATTTCTCTTCGACTACTTCTTCTTTCCATAGACCATCCTCATCCTCTGTGGCAGGCCCTGTTCCTTTTGGCAGTAGTATACCTAAACTCAGAGGCACTTCTTTGTCCTGGTTCTAGTCTCTGGAATGACTCCAGACCACTTCAGTATCTCCAACTCAGATCTCTGCTCCTCCCACCAAGCCCATGACAATCTCCCTTTCTTGTGTGGCAGTATACTGACTCCTGTATTCCTCCAGCCTTGTGAGTCTTCTTGGCACCTTAGTCAACCCCACCCTACTTCCACCCTGTTAATATTCTGAGAACAAGCACAGTCTAGATATACCCACGCCAAACAAGACTGCCAGCGAAAGAAGAGAGCCACGGGTGTGAGCAGATAGATCCAGGTCTGGAACAGAAGGGGGTTTTCAATGCATTTTGAAGGCTGTAATGTGAATTAGCTGAGAAACAGGAGAAGGGGAAAGAAAAGTAATATGAGAAAATTTTACACTCTTTCTATTAAAGGAGAAAGAGGAGCTAGAAGGGAACAGAGCCAGGGATGAAGAGGGTTGTGTTTCCGATGTCTTTGACCCAGACAGGATTTCTGTAAATTCAGCTATCTCCCCATTTAGCCCTGCAGTCAACTGCCTTCTTGGAAGAAAGAAAAAAAAAATCATTGGACTAATTTAGTGATGGCCAGAGATAGCCAGAAGCTAAACTCTTGAACAGCTGCAGTCAGCATTTCTAGACTGCTTTTCATTTCTGCAAAGGCTGTGGAGTTACTCATCTACCTCCAGGGCTGATTGGTGTATCTCTATGCAATCACAGGACCTCTGCCTCTGACCAGCTCTTTTCCAAATGAGGACACAAAGTGGCCAAGCTTAGGGATCCCACAAGGCCACTGCCCCAGAGAGAGTCAAAGCTAAAGTTAGGGATCACCTCCTATAATGAGGATTCAGACCACAGAGCTGAGCTGCTTCTAACTCCTCTGAATGCCACAAAGTCCTCATATCATAGTGTTTGGGATGTTTGGACTACACCTCCCAGATGTGGACAAAGGAAGGCCCATCTTCAAGAGACACTAAAATTATGTTCCTCCATCCTCCCCCAAAAGTGAAACAAAACCAGGCCAGGAGGTCAGAGACACATTCACATAATTTATTAAATTCACCATACAAAGAATATGCCACAGAAAAAAATATCAGAACTGGAAGGGACATGGAGATGATCTGGTCTGATCCCCTCATTTTACAAATGAGAGAACTGCTTGAAGTCCCGGAACACCATCATGGACAAAGCCAGAACGTGAGCCCAGTTCTGACACACAGAAACACACAAACTTAAGGCTTCTGGTTGTGAGCCAAGTAGAGCCTAAAGACTTCATCCACATTTAGTTTTAAGTTTTCTATTTTCTATAGTACCACATTCTTATGCTTATCTACTTCTTGAGGCTGCAGGAAGAGCCCTAAAGAAAACAAGATGAGCTGCGGAGTCATTCAGGAAAAAAAGACGAATTATGGAGCACAGGAGTTAAGAGGGGTTAGGGGAAGAACCCATCCCCAACCCCAAGATTTCTGATCACCCTCTTGCCCCAAACAATATACACTCAGACCCCAGTGCATCAAGGCAAGTATACCTGCCTTCCTGAAGTACAGATCAAGTTTGGAGAAGGAAGGGAAAAGAACCAGGCAGAGAAAAGGGAATGAAATATTCATAACAATGTCATTCTGAAATCAACAAGTCCAAAGAGAACACTGTTCCCAATTTCAAGCAAATCCAAACACCATAAGAGAAGGCTGTAGCACTTTGTTATTAAATCAATTATGAGATATAAGCAAAAACACCAATAAGTTAGCAAAATAAATAGTGAAAGTTTTGCTGGGACTGATGTAACCCAGTGAAAACATCATTTTTATGTTCTGGGTCAAGAAAACTGAAGTGTGCCTTGTGGTGCACCTTAGGGGAAAACCCTAAGAGATTATGGGAGTTTTCACAGCAGACAGAAGTCACACATAACTGTCTATGGACCTAGAGAATCTTTCTGCTAAAAGCTACTCCCTGAATGTACATTCCCTTCTCCCCAAAAGCCAAGATTGCCCAGACAAAGCTGAGGTTCACTGACTCTGACCAGGCCTGGACAGGTCGCGCCACTGTCTGTGTGTAGGTGGCCCAGGTCGGCATGGGCTGACGGTGGAGCAAGTAGAAAAACAAACAGTTTGTTGCTAAAGAACTGAGCTGTGTTTGTGGAAGGAATTTCATTACCCCAGGACATGCTTCAATCACCCTGGACATCTGTGCCTCCAGCTTCTAAGGCTTAGGCAAACTTGCCACCTCTCCCAAGCCTGGCTCCTGGGGCAGCTGGACTCCAGTCTATAACAGAAGGGATGCACTGCTACAGAGAAAAATAGTAGCTATAGGAATAAGTGTACTGCCCTAGCCCCTGCTGGCAAGATAGCATCTTCCAAAGGACTGCAGCATCCAGAGGAGGTGCTCGTGCTCCATCTGTCCAACACACAGAGGACAGGAGGGAACAGCAGCACACATGAGCCCCAAACACTAGGTGCAGCCAGGGAATAGTCAAGAAGTCAAAGTCAGTGCTAGCAGCCTACTGGGGCGGTGGGCTTCTCCACAGGTGACAGGCAGCAGCAATGGCAGCATCCATCTCCTCGCAGCTCATGTTTCCACCACTCGGATGAGAGGCATGGGCTTAGGGCTGGGGGGCTTGGATATCCTAATGCTGAAGAGAAAGTTGGAAACACTGAGTGCTGTGTCATTACCCACCCTTCACAGAGCTTCCCCTTCACGTTTGCCTCGGGAATCTTACACTTCAGTGCTGGCTGACCTCTTAGATTCCCAGTGCTTTGACACAGCAATTTTGAGTGACATCTAAAGATTTGGGGCATGAAACACTTGTATGGTGGCAGGGGTGATGAAAAGAAGGGGGCAGTTAACTGTGAAATGGATATAGCTGTGCTTCTTGATTTTTTTCAAGGTCTTGGGCCCTTTGGTGAATTTCTTGGAAGCAAAAGACCCTGTCCCTAGAAATATGCAAATATTAAAAATAAAATTTACATACAGTTTTAGGAGTTTTATATACCTCTAGAAAACACGCATGGACCTCCTTGGGTTCATGGTATCAGGCTGTACTCTAACTAGGTTAGAAAACAGTTCTGGTGGAGAATGGGTCAGATTAGAGACCAAGAGAGGAAAGTTGGTTCAAAAAAGCCTTGTCCTTAGGGCCGGCCTGTGGCTCACTCAGGAGAGTGTGGTGCTGATAACACCAAGGCCACGGTTCGGATCCTATATGGGGATGGTCGGTTAGCTTACTTCTGAGAATGTGGTGCTGACAACACCAAGTCAAGGTTTAAGATCCCCTTACTGGTCATCTTTAAAAAAAAAAAAAAAAAAAAAAAAAGCCTTGTCCTTGCCTTAGCACTTAAGGTTTCACATAGCTCTGTCCCGCCTTCCTTCCCTTCCTACCTGCCCACCCTATACACACTCACCTGCCCAGGTTCTCTGTCTTGGCCCGGGTCTGGGTGCTGAAATTGGCATGACTGATTTGTTTTTCTATTAGGTGTTCCATCCGGTCGTGCATCTCTAAATTCTATAATATAAGCTATGGGATTAGAATTGGCCTTTTTCTGGCTTGTTATGTGTCACAGTTAGCTAGCTCATTCTGGGCTTTCCACCACTGTTTGTGCTGCTGTTGCCCCCACCCCTATCATGCAAGCCACCAACTGATGTCTTCTCCCCCTCTTCATTACTATAGATTGCTCTCTTCCTCCAATATCTGCTCCTCAATGACTGTGCAACAATGATCACTTCCTGCATATACTCTGTATACATTTCCTGTATGTAATTCTTTGTTGTCAGTTGAGATATTCACTTATCTTTGATGATATGCTATTCTATAAAGAATTCTTAGGTCTATTTTTTTTTAAAAATATATTTTATCTCTAACTCTAGAGTGCGAACTCCCTAAAGATAAACAACCCTGTCTCCCATTTATCTCCCCCATTAAAAGGGATCTTCACACACAGGCTGCAAAGTGATCTACAGGTAGTCAAGGGAAAGAAAGGGCTCTGTAGCAAAGAGGAAATTAGACTAGGATGACATGCGGCTTGCACCATGTGATATGTCCCTTGAGGGCAGGGGCAGGTCTCACTATTGTTAGCAATTCCCTGAAGGTTCTCAGAAAATGTTTACTCAACTAAACTTAAGATCAATCAACCATATCATACACTCACTTCTGAGCAGCAGCTAGATAAGACCAAGACCACCTTTCCTTCCCTTATGTCTAGTCTTCTCTTCAAGAGCCCTGCTCTCCTGCCGGAGCTGCCCAGCACACACACCTCTGCCTCCAGATAGGCGACTTTCTCCTTGAGCTCCTGGATGGTGGCATCCTTTGACTGGATCACAGCTTTTGAATTCTGGAGCTGCAACGATACAGGAGACACTGGAGCTCATTTTGCAATGACTCATTACACACTCATCAAACCTCATCCCAGCTGCTGGGGAAGCCAGCAGACATGAAAGTCAGAGCTCTGCAACTCTCATGTGACTTAATTAGCTTTTCTACAAAAACTTCATTTTAGTCAATATTAAACTCTTCATTATTCCAGGGGTGGGGGAGTGTGTGTGTGTGAGGGGAACACCACTCTGATAATCCAAAACAACGGATAATTCAACACCCATTCCATTTGGCTTGGAAAATACAAATTATTTATTCATTCGAGAAATATTTATTGAATGCTTATTATATAACAGTCCCTGTTCTAAAAAATGGGAAACAGCTGAAAACAAAATAGACAAAACGGAGCTGACATGAAACAAATATGCCCTCCCAATTAGGGGATTTTATGTTCTCAAAACAATTCTGCAAATGTTCATATCCTAAGTATGCTACCCTAAAGTTCAGGTGGGGTAAGGCAAATCTGCCATGAGGCAGAAAGATTGGACAACTGTACACTGATAACTGAGTTCATAAACTCAATTAATCAATCACTAGCACTCTTCACAGAGTGTAGGGGAGACTAACCTTTTCCTTCCATTCCCGTTGGAGAGTGAAGCCAAATGCCCAAAAATGTAGGGGAAAGATGGAAGAAAAGCAAATCCTAATAACCCAGCCCCTAGTAATTGGTAGCTATAAATGTTTTATGGGAAATGCATGAGTATAACCCAAGCTCCCTGGGAGAGTAGTAAATAAAAACACAGACTTGGGGTAACACTCTAGGGAAGGCTAAGATCTGACCCTGCTTACCTGTTCTATCATTTGTCGGACTTTCCGCTGCTGGCTCTTGAGCATGTCATCCAAGTGATGGATCTTCTCCCGCAACCCAGCCACTTCCTTTTCCAGGGTAGCAGTCCTGGAGATAAAGACCAGAGGCTGAGGCAAGGGGAAAAGATGCCTTCTCTACCCAGCCACAAGAAGAACCTTGGACTTGGGAGGTTCCCATCAGGTGTAACTCCCTCCACCTGATCCCCAGCAGTCTGCCCTAAAGAATAAGTGGTGGGACATCTTAATATGTCACACTGGAAACATCCTCAGTGATCATCTAGTCCAGATGAAGAAATTGTGGCTCAGAAAGTCATTCTGGATAGCTTCAGAGGGTAAAACTAGAACCCTCTAAATAGGTAGATGATCCAGGGAAGGAGTTTTTATATTAACACAGGAAAGACTTCCTCAGTACTAAAGCTGTCAGAAAGTGGGCTGCCTCATGTTTAATGAGCTCCCCATTACTGGAAAGATTCAAGTAGGAGCTGGGATTATATTATACCCAACAGCATCCAGCTTTTGGCAGGGATTTTATATCAGGAGGTAGATAAGGTCTGAGGATCCCCAAAGCCTCTCCACACAACTCTGTTTTTTAGTCTCCCAGTTCCTGCTGTTGCTTCCTTTGCATCTTCTAAGCAAACTGAATCAAAATTCCCAAGTCCGTGTGACATAAGAAATACACATTTGGTCTCTGCTTCTAGTTCCTGACATGAAGCTCCTAAAACTTTTGTAATCTCCTCAGTACAGGGGTGATAGGAGCATGTTTTGTTATATTTGGTCTTAGTCCCCAGTTCCTGAAAAGGAGACCTTTGGAATCTCTGGAAGTGATGCGTATCTTTTTGTATGCTAAGGAGATGATTCGTGGCTGGGGTCCCTAGACAGCTTCAGGCTGGAAGAAGCAGGTAGCCAGAAAGACCAAGGCATGATTCAGCCCCACCCCATCCCCAACCTCTGGGGTGGGGATAGAGGCTGGAGACTGAGTTAATCACCAATGGCCAATGATTTACTCAATCACAGCTATGTAATGGAACTTCCATAAAAACCCTAAACAAAGGAGTTCGGAGAGCTTCCAGGTTGGTGAACACATCCACATGTTGAAATGGTGGCACATCCCAACTCCATGGGGACAGAAGGTCCTGCACCCTTCCAGATCTCAGATTTTGCCCTATGTATCATGCCCTCTTCATCTGTCTGTTCATTTGAATCTTTATAATCTACTTTATAATAGACCAGTAATAGTAAATAAAGTGTTTGCCTGAGTTCTATGAGCCATACTTCAAATTATTGAACCTGAGGAGGGGATTATGGGCACTCCTGATTTGTAGCCAGGTCAGACAGAAGTGTCGGTACCCTTGGACCCATGACTTGTGACTGGCGTCAGGATGGGGTACAATGAAACCTGAGCCACCCCACGTTCTTCCTAAACTTCAAACATTTTAAGTTTTTCCCCTCAGCTTACCAATGCCCTATTTCTCAGTCTCTTTTTATTTAGAAAGTCAGCATTTATAGTGCATAGCTATTACCTGCCATTCCCAAACCCTGGTTTTGGATTATCTATTCCTTTTTATTTCTCTTGCTCCTCCCATCTCTTGGTCTGCCCATGAGCACCTCCACCACAGAGGAAGTAGTGCTGAGTAATTTAAAGTTTCTGATATGAAGTCAAGTCAGAAAGGAGGCTACAATAAGATGTCTGCATTTTCCATGCCAAGAAGGTCAAATCTGAGTTATCTTAAAGGAGAGAAAATGACCCCAGGAGACTGATATGTCCTCAAAGGCAAGGATCATGTCTGTTAATCTTGTAATTACTTAGAAGGTCCTTCATGTCATGTCCGTTGAACTAAAAAAGGTCCAACTTACACAATGGCAATCAGACCCCATAATACTGGTGTTAAATTTGATTTACCATTTGAGATATTATTTATGAATTGCCAACTGCATAAAGAATTTCCAAATTGCTGAAGATCCAAAAAGCACAATCTTTGCTCTGCAGATTTTATTGCTTTGGGGCCTCTGATCCCCTGTGATCAGAGGGAATTTGCAAAACCCTCTAACCTTGGAGGTAGAAAGGATCTCAGTGATGCTCTATATACCACTGCTGACAGGTGGTTCTCTGTTTCTATCTGAACTGCTTCAAGTAACAAGAAGCTCAGTATCTCCTCCTGAAGCCACTCATTTTATTTTTCATCAGCACGACTTATAAAGAAGTTATGCGATTTACCCTCAAGTAGTACACAGTTGGTTTGTTTTTTTCTTTGGCGGGGAGGAAACTGTGATAAAACACATCCAGAGTAATAACCTATGGAATGCCATGCTGCAACAGCAGATGCTTTACCAGCTCTCATTTGACCTTGGCTCTAAAACCCTAAAAGCCTTTTCTTTAGGTTACTAACCCATGGAAAATGAACTCCCCGTAGATGGCAGCTTTCCGAACAGTATCTCCCTGGGTGGGGCTCCACCCTGAGCAATCACATTATGAGTCAGAGCTGGAAGATCTGACATCAGCACCAGCTTCCTCCCCAGACCTGGCCACTGTGGGAGCTGCAGACTACATGGTCCCCATCTCCCCACTACCCCAACTTCACAGTGAACAAGGACCCTTACTTTTCTTGTTGTGCTTGGCAGTCAGTGTTCTTGCTCCGAAGTTCCTCTAAGGCCAATTCCCCTTCCCTGACTTTTGTCAGTAAGGCCTGATGCTCCTGGGTGGGCCAAAGGAAAGGAAATCCAGGATGAGAAGATGGCAACAGTTTCTGTGTTTGGTGAGATGGCACTAGGGCTCTGGGACAGCTGCCAAAGAGCAACAAGTCAAGCTGGTTTGCTGGGGTGCCCTCCCCTGTCAGGGATAGCCCTTCCCACCCTCAGCACACAGAAACTTCCCAGCCTCACCCAGCTGCCCAGGGGAAGAACCTGGCTCTGTTTTACGCAGGCCCACCTGCCAGTTGTGGCAGCCAGTCCCTGAGAAACTCAGTGGGGTGGCTTCTTGGCAATAGTCTTCAAAAGCCCAAAAGGGGCAGCTGTAGAAGAACCTGACTAAAGTGGAAATGGATTTAACTCTAGTCAGGGGGAGGCTGAAGCTAGCTGAGAGAAAGGCCTTCCCATTCCTTAAAGTCTATAAGGTATTCAAAGGGATTTGTGAAAGGAAGTTGTAAAGTGTGTTGTTTTTTTTTGGAGCTGCTTGCAAAAGGAGTCTCAGCAACCATCTCACTCAATCCCTGGGCCCCTTCCAGCCCTGGAGCCTCTGCACTGATAAGCAAGACTCCACAATTACCGTCTCCATCCCCAGCAAGCGCCGCTGCAACTCTCTGACTTCTGCCTCTTTCTGCTCCACTCTCTCCTCCTCTCTCTGAAGGGCAACATTACTCTGTTCTGCTTCTCTCTGGTACTGGGTGAGTGTGACCTGTGACATAGGATGGAGAGGTGTTAAATGGTAAGGGAAAAAAGAGCAAACTGCATGAAAACTGTAGAAGAGAACCCAGGAACCTGGGGCGGCTCTGGAACCACAATGGGAGAAAGGAAGTGACCCTGACAAGCACATCCCACCTCCCATTCACTGTTCAGGACCACCTCAGATGATGCCAGCAGATTAACTCTATTTCCAGGGTTAATTGGCATACAGTTGATTGAGCTCTACTTTAAAGTGACAGCTGGAACCCACAAGCACCAACCACTTCAGGTGGCTGACTTCAACATCCCCACAAATCCTCCAGTGCCACTTGAGCTTAATTCAATGCTGTGGCTTTCACTCCAGGAGAGGATATCTCCATGTCCTTCCTTCTGCTTCTACAACTCCTCCCCACCCTTACTTCAAGCAAAATGTCAGAGCCCATGTACAAAAGCCAAAATGACATTTGGAAGGGCTACTAAGCACCAGGAAGAATTTGTCTTTTATCAAAGATGAGAAGCCAATTTGGAAAGGATAGAAGCAGAATTTTAGAATGTTAGAATGAGAAAGTAAAGTAAGGACTTGCCTCCTTTCCTCCCACCTGCACCTTGCCAACTCCTACTCATCCTTCAGGTCTCTCTTAGACACCCCTTCTTCCAGGGAACCTTCTGAGCCTGGGGGAGGAGCCCTTGCTTTGTGTGTCTACAGAGGACACACAGCCCTCCCCTCTCATAGCACTGAGGGGATTTTGCCCAGTCACTCGTGTGCACCCCTAAAAAGACTGTCGGCTTCATAACAGCACAGACCTGAGCACTGTACATTCCCAGAGCTCCAAACAGTACCTAGCTCACAGTAACTGTTCAATAAAATTGTGAATGGAACTGAGGTTCATCTAGTCCAACCCTCTCCCTTCACAAGTAAAAGTCAACTGACCTATTGAAGGTTACACAGCTAGTGAGTGACAGCACCAACGCTAGGACCCAGCTACTTCTCTGTCCATTTGATGCTTTCCAGTTACCCACACTGACTCCTCGTCATTTACTAAAGAACTCAGGTAACACACTTCTGGAAAGCCTAGCTAACCCTGGGAAAACAGAACACCAGAAGCCAGTTTGTCTGGCCCCTCCTTAAGTCAGAACCAGGAAGGAGAAAGCACAGACAGGATAATGTGTGATGGGACATGTCCATGCTACACACCAGCCTTGTCCAGGGCTTGCTGCAAACCCTTCCTGATAGCAAGCAGCCAGTAGATAGCAAGCAGCCATGAAGCATGGGGAAACCCATGCTTCATGGAAGGTTATTTTCATGGTAATTGATGACCTTGCCCTTCCTACCCCCAGGTTGAGAAAAGTAGACCAGAGAGTCCAATTCACTAGAAGAGACTGAGAAAAGTCCTCAAATGACCAATATTAGCGCAAAATACACAAGAACTTAAAAACAAGGCCTTTCATTTCTGTACACAAACACTGCATCCAGGCTGATATGTGCTCAGAGCACAGTGTTAATGGGGCCATGGTCCTATCCCTGCACCCACTGCAGGGTCACAAAGATTAAAATAAAAATACAGACTCCCTTTCCACATCTGTCCTTGTAGCTCCAGCCATCCCTGACCCCAAAGGAACCACTTTAATTATAAGAGGGTGTGCCAACCTTCCCTAATAATGGGAACAGCCCAAGGAGCACCTCCTATTGCAGGTGGGTGCTGGCACCATGGAGTTAAGGAATAGTCCCTCTAAACCATGGGCAGTTGGCTGCAGCCATCAGGGGTCTCTAGCCTTGGGCTCTGAAACCCAGATCAGCAGACTCCCCTGTGTATGATCAAACCAACAGATATTTCTGTAATTTCCATAACTTTATAATGCCTCTCAGTGCAGAAATTTCTTTCCAAAATTCACAACCTTGTCAGTGCTTCAGCCTCAATCTACCCTTCCTCCTGTTTTACTCCAAGAATGTAGGTAACTGCTGGTCACCAAACTGATAGATACATCACCAACCAAACTATCCAAATGTTGAATCTGAAACAGATGCAGCAAACTCCTTTACCTACTTTGTTCTGAGACCACAAACTAATCTTAGTATTACCCTAAGTCCAAACTATTTACAATAGGAAAATCTGCTTGTTAAACTGATGACTAAATACATAATATCTTCTATTTCTAAAACCCTTTAGAACAATAAAGTGTTCTCATATATATTACCTCACTCAATCTGCACAGCAAACTTGTGAGGTGTACTTCATGTATACTTCATGATCCTTTCTACACAAGTTGAAACTGATGCTTAAATTACTTGCTCAAATAAGACTTCACTAACTTAGTAGCAGTTTATCATTCCCGGTGCCCTTCTTCCTCACTCTCTCTCCTCCCAAAAGTTCTCTTTCTTAGTTCCATGAAAAGAAGAGTAAGGCTGGCCTTCTTTCCATCAGCTCCCAGCATGCCTAGGCAGGATATAATCCTATCATAACATATTCATGACATAAATAAAACTCACTTGTGGATGAACAAGAGCAGATAACAGATGGTTAATCTCACATAGTTAGAAAACTACCAGTGTACCTCATTTTGTACTTAAAGAATTTTCTAGAAAGTATGGAAGACCTCACATGCTTTTATTTATTTTTTTTCTAATTTTGTTAAATAATTACATTGAAATTTATTTGACAATTTGTGAAGCAATTTATTTTGAAAAAGGAATTCCTATAGCATAAAAATTTCTTTAGGAAGCTTCCATATGATAACTAAACTGGTCCCTCAGTATTCCACAGAATTTTTATTCTCTGGTCAGTTTTTTTTTTTTCATCCTCCGAAATTTCTATTTTAGACTTTCTCCACTTTCCATCAGCTTTCCCCTCTCACCACACTGCCATTTTACTCTGAGCAAATGACCTTAATTTCTGTTTCACAGAGATGCTGCTGACACTTACGTTGTTGATATTCACATCTCATTTTTATCTCCATCCTCTTCCTTTTACTAGCTTCTTCTTGTCAGCATTTAAACATACATATATCATGCTACTCTTCCATGTGTTCTCTGCTTTTCTGTCTCACAAGCTTTCTTTCAGTTTTTCACATCCCATTTTCCTTTCTCCTTTAGGGCCTTTGTGCTCAATTTATGCCTGGAATTCTCTTTACACTTCTTATTAAAACAGATGCTGCAGCTTACGTCTATTTCATCCTAAAATTATATTCTCCCATTTATCAGAAATCGCTGAAATAAATATATAATTTTTTTTAGGCACCCTTTCTTAAAAATTGGTGTGTATTTTAAAAACTTTATTATATTGATAAGTTGAATTTTTTTTTTTTTTTGTCCTTTTTGAGACTGGCCGCACTGCGCTCAGCCAGTGAGCGCACCGGCCATCCCTATATAGGATCTGAACCCGCGGCGGGAGCGCTGCTGCACTCCCAGCGCTGCACTCTCCTGAGTGCGCCACGGGCTCGGCCCAGATAAGTTGAAATTTAAAAAAAAAATTTTTTTTTAAACTTTTTACAAAGCACCTTTGCCATTCCTACCTATATGAGGTTCCTTCAATTTTTTTTCTCCCAAATTCTTTTCTTTTCTTTTCTTTTTTTGAGCCCCCTTTATTTTTATTTATTTATTTTTAATCAGTACAGTCTAAAATGTTCTTGGGGTTGGGGAAGGGGGTGGGGCTGGCCCACAGCTGATTCTGTTGCTGGTCTGGTTATGATGGGGGGTGGGGCTAAAGCCCTGGGGGAGTTCCCCCTACTGCCCCCCACCCAGGCTTCTGGCTCCATCGATGGCCTGGGGGCTGTCAGCAGTGGGCAGGGCCAAGGCCCTTGGGGGGGCTTCCCTCACATACTTTTAGTAGTAGGGGGCTTTCATTCTCTATAGATTTCTGTATTTTTTAAATCTTCTAATCTTTTTAATCTAGTGTTACTTTTTCTTTTAAATCTACTATTACTTTTACAACAATAATTAAGGTACTCATTCAAGACCACAAAGCTCTACATGTAAAGCTGAGACCAGAACTGAAGTCCTCTGCCTCCATGGGCACAGTTTCTTCTATGACAACACAGGTCTACCAACTCATCAGTCCACATTTGCAAAGCACCCACGTTGTGCCTGGTGTTACACCAGAAGCAACAGTCATTGCCTGCATTGAGCCTTACAACCTAGTGATTCTCATCATGGTACATACAGAAATGACTTCTGACCCACCTGCTGTCCCAGACCAGTACTAGCGCTCAGAATCAGTAGAGCAGAGAATTAAGACCTGACCTTTGAACTATGGGCCAGCCTTGAACAGCAAATACTATAAATGTCTAGTCGATGGTACCCAGACAGAAAGACATGAAGTCCATGCTGAGAAAGTCATTGGCACTGCTTCCAGTAGCCTGTGGGGCTCCATCTACCCAAATCCCAAATCTCACCTCAAAGGCCACACGGTCTGACTGGTGTTGTCGCTCAGCCTCCTGCAACTTGGCAAGCAAGTCCTGCACAGTCTTCCTCAAGCTCTCGACACCTTCATTTATATAGGTGTCCACCTACAACCAGAGCAGGAAAAGGAAGATGAAGCCACCATGTGTGTAACTTGGTAAGAGGAAGTACCCTCCCTGCCACACACACTGGTTTGGGCCATCTAGTCCAGACCAGCCTCACAAGAGAATTAACACTATGCAAATAAAGAGTTAGTCTTGGGCAGCCAAAAGTTCTGAGTTATTCATAAAAATACATTCTCACTTCAAACCCTAAAGAACTCAGCTAGCTTCAAATAACCCAGTTATTTTAGGACACAGTAACTTTTTACAAATGTATCAACTGACTGACTTCTTAACAGATATGTGTATGCCATCTCTATGTATCCTGCTTCCCTCCATCAGACTAGAGCTCTCCAAGAGCAGGGACCATGTTCCCCTTTGGACCAGGGTTCCCCAAGGACAGGGACTATGCCACACTCTTCACAAGGGAAATGGCCCAAAGACACATCTTTTACTGTTCTCAGCACCTAGCACTGAGATCAGCATATAAAGGGTTACTGATGGATAGACAGGTTTAGGGCAAAAGTACCCACTGAGTCCAGGAATCTGATTTGATATACAAAAAGATTTTTTTTTTTTTTTTTAAAGATGACCAGTAAGGGGATCTCAACCCTTGGCTTGGTGTTGTCAGCACCACGCTCAGCCAGTAAGCAAACTGGCCATCCCTATATAGGATCCGAACCCGTGGCCTTGGTGTTATCAGCACCGCACTCTACCGAGTGAGCCACGGGCCGGCCTCAAAAAGATGTTTCATCAAGGTTACTGCTTAGTCTCTCTCCCAGACACACCCAATTATGGGCTGGTGGTTAGAGCTGAGCTGACATGTAGGGTCTCGCCCCTATCTCTGCTGCACAGGCCCCAGACACTTCAGTTACAAGATTCCTGTAAATCTGACAAAAAAATCTCTCCATCTTGCACAGTGGGAAGCAGCAACATCTTCAAAGAAGAGCGCAGAGCTCTCAGTTGAGAAGGAGACAGGGTCTCAGTCACTGCCTTATTACCTGGTCCTGTGGGCCTTCATTTCTTTATCTGTGCTGCAGTGAGAAGATTCTTCCCATGCCCTGGCCTATAAGCTTCCCCAAATATAGGTAAGATAATATCCGGTAGGGCTTTGAGCTTGTGAGAAGAAAGAGGCTGAACAGATATTGCCAGGCGTTATTATAATTTGTTGCCAACAACATATTTGCCAAATATGGTGATGCAAGGGAAGGGGAAAATCCAAACTGCACACCTAAAGTGAGAGGCTAGAAGCACAACATTCTAAATCTAGATGTGAATATGTTTTCTGGTCCATTCCCCTATATCCTCACCTAAGTTGCTGTGCAGGTGAAAGGACTTTAAAAGGTCCCTGGAACATAATTATTATATATTTATTTCAAACAGTGTTCTCATAAGATTATCTAATAACATGGAAAACTTTCATGAACATACTATCTCATATGATATAATATGAAGTGAAAAAAGTGAGTTATAAAACTTTACGTGTAGGGCCGAGCCCGTGGTGCACTCGGGAGAGTGCGGCGCTAGAAGCGTGGCAGCAGCGCTCCTGTTGCGGGTTCGGATCCTATATAGGGATGACTGGTGCGCTCACTGGCTGAGTGCGGTGCGGCCGGTCTCAAAAAGGCCCGGAAAAAAAAAACAAAAAAAACTTTATGTGTAGGAGGTAGAATCAACAAACTAGAATTTAATGTAGGAATGTGGATAGGTCCTAAAAAAATGGTGTTGAGTAAAAAGGGAAAAAACAGAAAAAAGATATAGCACAAGTCCATCATGTAAACTGAAAACATTTTATAGACATATTTAAAGTCATATATTAAATACATTGCAGTGAGTATCTCTTGGCCGGGAGTGGGGGGACGGGGCGCCAAGGGCAGAGACAGGTAGGGGAGACACAGGGGGAAAAAAAAAGTAAAACCAGTGGGAGGCCTTGATGAGACCCATGATGATAATGTGCCATGAACGAATGGGTAGGTCTGATTCAGCTCTGCACTGAAGGGCCAAAAACACCCAATCCAAAAAATACCCAACCAAGGAAACAAAAAACAAATATGCAATTTCTAGTATAATCTCAATATTATAAATACTTGTATATATTTGCATTGAAGGAAAGACAAAGAAAATTTCACCCAACTGTGATTTTTCTTTGGATAAATTACTATTGATATTTTTTCCTTCTTTCACTTTTTGGTGTTTCTGAATTTCCCAAGTTTTCTATAATAAGAATGTCTTGTATTATGATATGACCACAAAATACGTAATAATACACATCTTATTTTAAAAAGTACAGCCATGGAAGGAAATACTGTGCAGTTATTCTGAAGAATGAGGTAGATTTATATATACTAACGTGGAAAGAAGGTTATAGTATACTCTTCAGTTTAAAAAAATAAAAAAGCAAGCAAGGAATAATTACCATGACCCTGTATTTGTGAAAAGTATGTGTTTATTATATACTACATGAATTTATACATGTTTACTTGATGTATGTGTATATATTAACACACATATGCTATTTAAATATGGTTGTCTGTATGTAGAAAAACACTCGAATATTGGCACTCAACTTTAGCCAAACATAAGAGCCACCTGAAGAACTTTTAAAAGACCTGATGCCCAGGCCAAATCTCAGACATCATCTCTGTTAAAGCTCCCAAGGCTATTTCTATGGGCAGCCAAGACTGAGAAGCACTGCTCTAAAAGGATCCACCCATTTCAATCTGTTAGCAGTGGATACTTCCAAGGAGTGGGACTGGAGAAGGGAAATTTCCTTTTTATATTTCTCTGTTGTTTGAATTTTTACATCAAGTATTACTCTTTAATTTAGTAAGAGAGAATGAGAAAGTAATAAGCAAATGAGTCAGGGAACAGCAGATGCTGCCCCTGGCTAAGCATCAGCCATCATGGTTACCTCCATTACTTACCTCAGGTGGGCTACTGTACAGGGTTGTGGGACTCTGACAAAAGCCATTTGGCTTTTCTAGCACCACCTGTTCAAAGAAAAATAAAATTGGTATTTAAAATAGTGCCAAGCAACCAACTTCGAAACTTTATTCTCCTAAGACCTCAAATCTTAGAGAAAGAAAGAGACACAGGGATAAGGGAGGAGGGAGAGATGGAAGGGAAAGTTGGAGAGAAAGAAGGAAGGAAAGAAGAAAAAAGGGAGGGAGGGAGGGAGGGAAGGAAGAAAGGAAGGAAGGAGAAAGGGAGGGAAGGAAGTGGAAAGGAGGAAGGGAGGAAGGGAGGGAGGGAGGGAGGAAGGAAGGAAGAGAAGGGGAAAGGAAAGGAGACAGGGAAGATGGGAAAGGAAAGGAAGAGAAGGGAAGTAGAGGGGAGGGGAGAGGGGAAAAAGAAGACTATTGGAGTTCCGTGGGAAAACAGAAATGAGAGAGAGTAGAGAAATGTGTGTGGCCTCGAGAGAAAATACCCTAACCTTGCAGGGAGGATGAAAGCTCAGCCTACAACTGTTCAGCAGATTGGAAAATACGTGTACAGCCCATTTTTCCAAGCCTAGGGAATACAAGCAGCTGCTTGCCACAAACAAAGAGTTTCCCTTGCCCCTAGGGATCCTGACAAGGTTTGACAAAGCATAAATCAAAAAGGAAAGCAGGTTTTGCTATAGTTCTTTCCAAACCAAAGCCTGATTATTCATCACATGACTGCTGGTTTGTACAAACAAGAGGCCTGGACTTCTGGGCCAGTCTCTCAGCACATTAGGGTCTTCTCCCACCTGACAAAGCACCTCCCACCAGCCAGATGTGAGCTCAGGTACTGAAAGTCCCACCATCAGCCACACAAGCTTGGTGTATGCCCAAGATAAAGGAACTTTCCTGGCACCACATGCTGGCCACTGTTCCCTTTAGAGGAATGGGTCAGGTGCTGCTGGAGAAAGGCCACCCCGCCCAAACCAAAATGCAAATGAAGGAGACACAACTCAGAATCTAGAGGAGAATGAGGGTGAAGTCAGGAGATAGCTCTGTTCTCCTGAGGACATTTCCATCCCAGGAAGAACTCATCCAATCTGTTCAGTCTAACAAACATTTACTGATGCCTTCTGCCTCCTAGACCCTGGGCTAAGCGTGAGGATACAGAGACAGTGGGGGAAGGGGGGGTGAACCTCTAACTTCAAGGTGCTTCCTATCCCAGGGTAGACATGGCTACATATACAGACAAATAACAGGCTAGGACCAAGACTTCAATTTACACTACAGGTGTCATTCAAATTAAGCAAGATAAACTTAAAATAAATTTGGATTTATAGGTAATGATCTGCTTTATAAAACTGTATTACAAGAAGATTAATCACAGAATTCTTTTAGATAACAGGCTTTGCCAATAACTTATAATAATTTTAATTTATATAAATTCAATTTCTGTACAATGTTTTAGGAACAAGTGTACTTACAGGCTGATATGTGTAAATGCAAGTGCCTGTCTGCTGGCAAGCACTAACTAGACTGTAAGTGATCAGAGAAGCCAGTATTGCCTACATTCTCTCCACTCCTGGATGTGGTGCTAGATTCAGTGTGCACTGGGAGATTGGTAAATGGGACTGCCTGGCACAACCCACCTCCTCAGCAGGGACCAACCATGGACCATTCCCTATTACCTGTATCTCCTTTCGATGGAGAGAATCTCCTGGATCCCTGTCAAGCTTGCTACTTATATCCTCACGGAGCTTCTGCAGGCAGTTCCTGGCCTGGCAAAGGAAGGCAAGAAACTTGAGCTTTGGGGTAGGAAAAGACAGCACATCCACCTTTGTGCCCCATCCCCAACCCGTAATACTATGAGTCAGACACGGTTCTAGGTATTGGCTGTGGGAAGGAGGAAGGGACCCTGGCCAAATTGGGGCTACAGATAACATTCTAGTTGCAGAGATACACAACACAAAAAACAAATAAGTAAAATGCATACCGTGTTATATGGTAATAAATGCCAAGGAGAAACATGAGCCAGGGAGAGGGTTAGGAAATGATGGGAAAGGTGGCTGATAATTTTAGATAGGATGGCTGGGGAATAGGTTAGGCATGTGGTATTTAATAAGTATTGTTGATTAATGAATTGGATCCAAAGGTCAAAAGTGATATTTGACACACAGGAGAATATGATGGCTCTTCAGAGATATAAAGGGAACAGAATGGAAAAAAACTGGAACCCATAAAAGAAGGAAGCCAAAAAAAAAGTGAGGTTTAGAGAAATGATGTAGGCACTCCCTCAGAGGGAAAGGATGCCCACCTCCTGGATGTACTGGACCTCACTCTTCAGCTGGTTAATATTCTTCTCATGGATCATCTTGTCTCCAGACCTCCCCTTCAAGTACACCTGAAATAAGTTAAGGAACCTCAAGTTAAACTAATTTCACATCAACAGGCAACCTCATACACTACTGGTGGAGGGTAGAGTTACCACCAATTTACTGGGTGGCAATTTGGTGATTAAATCAGAAAACTTTAAAAATATATTTACTCTTTGACCTATCAAATCTACTTCTGGAAATTTATGCTAATGCAATAAAATTTAGCTAAATGATATATAGGTATATTGGTATAAACATTCACACATGTATATATAAATTCATGGAAAGGGGGCTGAAGGTATGTACACCAAACTATTCAGTGTGGGTCCTTCTGTAGAAGAGGGGTATAAAAGAGAATTTAAACATTTTGCTATGCATACCATGCTTGAATCTTTTACAATTGAGAAAACATGTCTGTATTACTTGTATTACAAAACACATACACAACACAGTAACATATTATCTTCAGCAAAATATTGTGTATGGCTGCAAAAAATGGAAACAAACAAAATGCTCAGCAATGGGGGACTAATTAAATAAATTATGATAAGTCTATAACAGAATATTATGCAGCCATTAAAATGCCAGATATTTACATTTGTGGATGCAGAAGATGTATAATATGCCATTACAAATGGGAGGCAGGAGATTGTTCAACACAGTTTATAACATAATTTTATTTTTTTGAAAAAATACTTATGTATAGGAAAATGTCTGGGAGGACATACAATAAGGTGTTAACAATAGCTACATTGATAGAATTATGGGATAGTTTCACTTTCTTCAAGGAACATGCAATGATTTTGAGTAAGAAAAAGAAATTAATTAAAGGCATCCAGTCTGGACAGAAAGAAGTAATACCATTTCTATTTGCAGATGATATAATCTTGTAGACAGAACATCCTAATGAATCCACTAATAACTATAGAATGAATAAACAAGTTCAGCAAGGTTGAAGGATACAAGATCAATACACAAAAATTAGTTGTATTTCTACACCATAGCAATGAACAATCCAAAAATGAAATTAAACAATTCTATTTATAAAAACATCAAAAAGACAACAATAAAGATAATTTAACAAAAGAAGTACAAGACTTGCATTCTGAAAACTATAAAACACTGTTGAAAGAAATAAAAGAAGACCTAAAAAAAATGAGCATTCTGCTTTCAAGGATAGGAGAAGACTTAATACTGTTAAGATGGCAATACTCCGCAAATTGAACTACAGATTCAACATAATTCCTATCCAAATCCACACTGGCTTCTTTGTAGAAACTGATCCTAAAATTCACATGGAAATGAAAAGAATCCTGAATAGTCAAAACAACCTTGAAAAAGAACAAGGATGGGGGACTCTCATTTCCCAATTACAGAGCTACAGTAATCAAAACAGGGTGGTACCGGCATAAGGACAGACATGTAGATCAATGGTATACAACTGAGAGTCCAGAAACAATAATCTAATTATAATAATAACAATAATAAAATACTCAACTGATTGTTGACAAGGGTGACAGGACAATTCAATAGAGAAAAAATCTTCTCAACAAATGATGCTGGGACAAGTGGATATCTACATGTCAAATATTATGGATTGAATTGTATCTCCCAAAGTTTAATGTGTTGGAGGCTTGGTCCTCACTGTGACAGTGTTAAAAGGGTGGGAAATCTTATTATGGTAGTTGAAAGGTGGGGGCTTGAAGAGGTGATTGTGAGGACAATGCCCTAGTAAATGGATTAATAAGTTGATGGTTTAATGGTGGTCATGGGCATGGTTCTGAGGGCTTTAAAAGGAGAAGGAGGAGTTAGCTCTCTCTGCTCTGCCTTTTTCGCCATGTGATAGCCTGAGTCACTGTAGTCACCACCAGGACAAAGCCCTCACTGGGTGTGTTCCCTGGACTTTGGACTTCCCAGCCTCTGAAACTGTAAGCAATAAATCTTGTTTCTTTACAAATTACCCAGTTTCTGGTATTTCTGTTATAAGCAACAGAAACGGACTAATATAACAAAGAATAAAGTTGGACCCCTTTCTCATAATATACACAAAACTTAACCCAAAATGGATCATAGACCTATTTGTAAGAGCTTAAACTATAAGTCCTTGAAGAAAATATAGGAATAAATCTTTGTGAGCCTGGGTTAGGCCAAAGCGTTATATATGACAAAAGCACAAGGAAAGAAGAAAAAATAAATTGAACTTCATCAAAATTAAAAACTTCCTTCAGTGACTGTGAGGCTGGGGAGATCCTGGCCCAGCCAAGGATGTCAGATCTCAACGTACTCCTCAGTGCTTCCTGGACCACCACCCAACCCCCATCTCCAAGCCAATAAAATCTCCCCATTAAAATTAAAAACTTCTGTGATTCCAAAGATATCATCAAGAAAGTGAAAAGACAAGTGAGGGCTGGCTGATTAGTTCAGCTGGTTAGAGCACAGCCTTATAACCCCAAGGTCAAGGGTTTGGATCCCTGGACCAGCCAGCTGCCAAAAAAAAAAGACAAATGGAAGAAAATATTCACGAATCATACATCTGATAAAGGTCTAGCACCCAGAATATATAAAGAACCCTTATAACTCAACAGTTAAAAGACAACTGGATTTTTTAAATGGGCAGAAGATTTTAATAAATATTTTTACAAAGAAGATATACAAATGGGCAATAAGCGCATACAAATGGGCAATAAGCACATAAAAAAATGCTCAATATCATTAGTCATTAGGGAAATGCAAATTAAAACTACAATGAGATATCACTTCACACCCACTAGGATGGCAGGAAGTGGTAATAACCCAAATGTCCATCAGCTGATGAATGGATAAAATGTAATATATCCATTCAACGAAATAGTATTCGGCCAAAAAAAAAGAATAAATACTGATAAATGCTATAACATGGATGAACCTTGAAAATATGCTAAGTGAAAGAAGCCAGACACAAAAGGTCACATGTTCCATGATTCCATTTATATAAAATTTCCAGGAAAAACAAATCCATAGAGACACAAAGTCAATTAGTGGCTACCAGGAGCTAGGAGGAGTGACTAAAAATGTCCTGGAATTAATAGTGGTGACAGTTGCACAACTCTGTGAATATACTAAAAACCATTGAATTATATTATACTTTGGGTCAATTGCATGGTATGTAAATAATACCTCAAAAAGTTGTTTTTAAAAAAAGAAAAAACAATGGGGCTGGCCCATGGCTCACTTGGGACAGCATGGTGCTGACAACACCAAGTCAAGGGTTAAGATCCTCTTACCGGTCATCTTTAAAATAAATGAATGTGGGGTCGGCCTGGTGGCGCACTGCTACAGTGCGCCGCTTGGGAGCACTGCGGCGCTCCCGCCGAGGGTTCGGATCCCACATACAGACCGGCCGCTCACTGGCTGAGCGAGGTGCGGGCGCAACACCGAGGGTTGCGATCCGTTGCTGGTCACGAAAAAAGACAAAAAGGGAAAAAATGAATGAATGAATGAATGAATGAAATATAAATAAATAAATAACAAAAATTGCTTTAATTTTTAAAATAAGTTCCGTAAACACATCTCCCACCTGTCTCCACAACTTCCAGCAGCACCTAGAAAGGTCATCCCATCCATCGCCATGGCTGGGGCCAGATTGCACCAAAGTCACTACAGGCAGACTGTGGTCTCTTTCTGTAAATTAAGATCTTTCCAGGAGATGGCAAAGAACTAGTATCTCACGTCTGGTTCCTTCCAGTCAAACCATAATCTCCCTTTGGCAATGTAAGCTGCCCCCTCTCATATGCTTATAGGGAGGAGAGCAGGAAGAAAAGGTGGTGATGAACTAAGCTTACCTTAATGATCTCCTCATGTCCATCATTGGATTCCACCAGTTCTGAGGCCAGAGAATGACCAGTTGAATGGCCAGATACCATGGCATAGGTCTTCCTGCCTGCCTGGAGGGAGAGAGAGAAGTGGCTCAAAAACCACATGGCAAGCTCAGAATTCCTGCCCCTTGACCAATGCAGAAGACCTGCTCCTCAAAAGACTTACAGGATTAGTCTGATTTTCCCCTCCAAAAAGTCTTTTCAGAACCTCTAATCAAAGCCACACAGCAGCAACAACACCGGACGGGTAAAGTTAGTAGAAATTGCAGGTTAGTTTTCATTTTAGTGGGGGGTCTCCCCATCCCCCAAAGCAGTGCACAATGGTGAGGTCAGTGGGATGTGTCTGAAAGGAAATGCTCCAAGCTCACAGCAGCAGAGATGGCTCCAAGCAGCACTGGAGGAGGGGTCAGCAGCAAGGAAGGAGAACTGGCTGAGGCGAGGACTCGCCCCACCAGAAACCTCAATACCTTCCGGGCTATCTGTTCAAGTTCATCTCCTGTCAGTTCACTCTGGAGAGTCAGCCTGAGAATGTCCACGCTGCCCTAATAATGACAATGACAGCAACAGTAACCCCTTACCTTTTCAGTCTACAGGTACAAAGTACTACTAGTAGAGGTGCACTATTGCCAACCCTGTGGAGTAGGCCTTATCATCACTACTTCACAGGCAAGGAAAACTGAGGTCCAGAGAGGTTGTGTTAGCTTGCCCAAGATCGGGTCTTTCCTGGGTGTTGGATGTCTCTGGGGCCACCTGACAATTCTCTTTCCACCACACCACAGACAACACAGCACATTGCTCTGTACAGCTCCAGAGGATTCTCCGGTTCTCGGATTACAGGGAGCACATTGCATGGATCCCCCTTCCCCAATCATGGAGAGGTCATCTCTGCATTGGTCATCCCCAAACCAGAATTTTTGCTCCTGACAACCAGCCAGGAAGTTATTCATGCACTTTACAAGACTAGGATATCCTTCCTGAACCAAACTATAGGGAAAGTACCTGAATCCAAACCCCCATTTCCATGAGCCACATAGAAATTAACCAAATGAAAGCAGGCAAGACAATAGGTATTTATCTAGAGATCAGCCTAATTTCAAAAGATGAAGCAGATTTTCTTTCATCACTCAAAGAAGGTTAAAAAAACACTTTGTGGGAAAAATAAAAAAACCTAAGGGAGAAAACATGGTGAAAGGAAAAAATGGGTGGCTGGAGATTTGGGAAGACAATAACACTGAGGACCAGGAAGGCAGAGTGGACCAAACCCTGCCAATAACCTGTGTTATTTGTGCAGGTGGACGAAGGGCTTAGCCACTCAGGGGCTCTGGTTTCCACTAGAAAAATAAGGGATTAGACTAAGTATCTCTTACGCTCCTTCTACCTTCTATACTGTGACAGCATGAGAGTGGAGTATATGCCTCTCCCAGGCAATGAAGGAAAGATGGGTGCTGAGCTACCCAAGGATAGAAATGACCTTGAGTCATCTGGTCATCCCCTGCCTCAACGACCAGTAGCATAAATACCACCTTACCCTTAGCAGGTTTTAAGGAACCCTCCTAACCTTCCAACTTGCTGGAGAAAAAGATCAATCTATGGTCAGAAACTGAACTCTTGGTGTGCTCAGATACTTAACTTTTGGTGTTCTCTTCTATGAAATAGGAATACTATCATCCAACTGAGGAGTTTTTGTTGAAGGCTAACTGAAAATGTGTGGAGGTTACTCTGTACCACACAGGAGGGAGATACTCAAACATTAGCCTCCTCCCACTTCTTAGAATGAACCCAAATTTAGGGATGACAGAAGACACTGCCACAATGGGCTTTAAGCCTTCCCAATCCTGACAAAGTAGCTGGTTTAACAAAAACATTTAATTCCCAAAATAAAAGCCATATCCTTAGTGTGGCATACAAGGCTCATAAAGTCTGAGTCAACTCACCACTCTAGCTACTGTCCTTTATTGCCCCCCCCCGCCACCCCCTCCGTCCAATATATACCATGCCTTCCAACTTCAGTGCCTTTGCTGGCATCATTTCCTTTGCCTTAAATATACTTTCTTCCCATTTTCACCTGGGGCATTTGCAAGTCCCTGAAGAGTTCACTTTCAAATGCCACATCTTCCATAACACTACCCTGCATCCTGTGGAAAACACATCTTCCCTTCCCTCAACTCCCTCGGCATGACAAGGCTCCTATGGTATCTGCCTCTCAGTAATTTGTGTTCTATGAGAAGTTGCCCTTTCTGTTAACTCCTTGATGGCTGTCTGTCACAGCCCTTAGTACAGATACATATTTTCTGAATGCACAATGAATGCTCCATGACATCCAGACCAAGAAAACATTACAAAAGAGAGAAGAGGAAATGATTTCAAAATAGCCAGAGTGAATGCCAATTCTTTTTCCCCAGGACACAGGCAAGCACTTTGATTAAAGCACCATCTCCTCATACCTGGAGGCAGCTAGGGAAAGCCAGGGCATCCTTCAGTCAGAACGGAAGAGTTATCAGCCAATGAAAGTCATCAAGTCTGGTTTATTTCATGAACACAGGCATTCCTATTGGGAGAGCATAGACAACTAGGCTGGGTCAAGGCCCTGAGAGATTATCCTATCCATTTATGTCATCAGAATCCCAGACAGGGAGGAGAAAGGGGTGAGTTGAAAAGGTACTCAAAGAAATAACAGCTAAAAACTTCCCAAATTTGGCAAAAGACAAACCTAAAAATTCAAGAAGCTGAGCCAACCCCAGAATAAACCCAAAATTCATGCCATAATACATCATAATTAAACTTCTGCTAACTAAAAACAAAGAAAAAAGTCTTGAAAATAGCTAGAGAAAAATGATACCTTACTGACAGGGGGGGAATTAATATGAATAGCAGCAGATTTCTCATCAGAAATGACAGAGGCCAGAAGGGACTTTTTTTTTTGGTGGCTGACTAGTACGTTGGATCTGAACCTTGACCTTGGTGTTATAACATTGTTCTCTAACCAACTGAGCTAACCAGCTAGCCCCTGCATAATAATTTTCAAGTGCTGAAAGAAAAGAACTGTCAATTCAAAATCCCATACCCAGGGAAAATATCCTTTAGGAACGAGGCAGAAATCAAGACATTATCAGATGAAGGAAAACTAAGAGAATTTCTCACCAGCTAACTTACACTAAAAGAATGGCTTAAAAAGTTCTCTAAACAGAAAGGAAACATTAAAAAAGAAACTTTTGGAATGCTGGGAAGAAAGAAACATGGATAGGAAAAATATAAGTAAATATAATAGGGTTTCCTTCTCAGGTTTTCTAAATTATGTTTCATTAGAGATGTCGGATATAGTTTTTTGTTGTTGTTCATTCTTATACCTTGATCTGATGTGGTTTTAAAAGTATACAGAGGAAATATTTATATTAATATTATAAATGAGAGAGGGTAAAAGGATGTAAAGAAAGAAAGATTTCTCTTGTTCACTCAAACTGGTAAAACGACAACACCAGTAGACTGTGATAAGTAACGTATATATAACGTAATACCTAGAGCAACCAATAAGAAGCCAAACAGAGGCAACACTAAAAAACACTATAAATGAACCAAAATGGAATTCTAAAAAGTGTTCAAGTAACCCACAGGAAGACAGGAAAAAGAAAACAGAGAAATGAAAAACAGAGAGAACAAACAAAATGCAAAAAAAAAAAATGGCAAACATACAATACCAATAATTATATTAAGCGTACGTGGTCTAAATACACCAATAAAAACAAAGATTGGCAGAGTGGATTTTAAAAAAAAATGACTCACCTCACCACAAAAATGATAACTGTGGGGTAATACATATGTTAATTAACTAGATTTAATCATTCTACAATGTATATATACTTCAAAACAATATGTTGTACATGGTAAATACATACAATTTTATCTGTCAATTTAAAAATACATAAATTTTTAAAAAATGACCCAATATATGCTGTCTGCCAGAAAGACACTTCAAATATAAAGACATAGGCAAGTTGAAAGTAAAGGGATAGAAAAAGATATATCATGTAAACACTAATCAAAGGAAAGCAGGAGTGGCTATATTAATATCATATAAAGTACACTTCAAAGCAAAGAAAATTACCAGAGACAGAGAGAGACATTACATAATGATGAAAGAGTCAATCCACAAAGAAGACATAACAATCCCAAATGGATACGCACCAAACAAAAAAGCTGCAAAATGTAAAGCAAAAACTGGTAGTACTGAAAGTAGAAATACACAAATCCATAATTATAGTTGGAGACTTCAACATCCATCTCTCGAGAATTGATAGAACAATTAGACAAAAAAATCAGCAAGGATATATAAGAACTCAACAACACCATCACCCAACAGTATCTAATCAATGTTTATAGAATGCTCCACCCAACAACATAAGAATGCACATTCTTTTCATGTGCCTACAGAAAATATATTAAGATAGACCATAACCTGGGCCTTATAAAACAAATTTACAAGAATGGAAATCATACAGAGTATGTTATCTGACCACAATGAAATCAAATTAGAAACTGAAAACAGAAAGATAGTAAAATTTCCAAACATCGGGAAACTAAACAACACATGTTTAAATAATCCTTAGGTCAAAGAGGACATCTCGAAGGAAATTTTTAAAAATCATTGAACTGAATACAAAATATCAAATTTTGTGGGACACAGCTAAAGCAATTCTGTGAGGGAAATTCATAGCACTAAATGGATAAATAAGAAAAGAGGAAAGTCTCAAATCAATAATAATTTAAGCTCCCTCTTTAAGAATTTAGAAAAGAACAAAATAAACCCAAAGCAAGCAAGAGGGATGAAATAATGAAGATAAAAACAGAAATGAATAATATTTAACACAGAAAAACAATAGAGGAAAATCAATGAAACAAAGATCTTGGAAAAGATCAATAAAATTGACAAACCCCTAGTGAGACTGACAATAAGTAAAAGACACACACACAAATTACCAATATAGGGAATGAAACAGGATATTTCCACAGACCATGCAGATATCAAAAGGATAAGGTAATACTATGAACAACAACTTTACAATTTACATAAA